TCAGCCTCCCAAGTAGCTGGGATTAGAGGCATGCACCACCATGCCTGGCTAATTGTTTTGTATTTTTAGTAGAGATGGAGTTCGCCATGTTGCCTAGGCTGGTCTCAGACTCCTGATCTCGGTCAATCCCCCTACCTCGGTGTCCCAAAATGCTAGGATGACAGGCATGAGCCGCTGTGCCCTGCTAGATACTGTCTTAAGGACTTTCTTTGAATGATGTCATTAGTTGTCTCTCTTCAACCACCCTCTGCAGTGGGTACTTTTATTATTCCCATTTTGCGGATAACGAAACTGAGGGCTAAGGGTTGGGTGCCTTGAGATCACGCAGCTAGAAAAAAACCTGGAAGCTCTGGCTTCAAAGCCCGTGGACTCTAGCACTTTTCCACCCTGGTCCTGGAGACCCTCATGCGCCCAGGACCCTACGTCTTAGTACCCTCAGAAGCCCAGGCTGGGCAGGGCGGGGGCTCACCGTGAGCAAGTGCAGCAGGTCCTCATTGGCACTGCAGGGTGGATGCTGCCCTTGGAGGGCCGCCAGCTCCTGCAGCCGCAGGTAGAGGCTGTTCAGCTTGGATAGGTGCAGGCGGCCGTCAGGCAACCTGTCAGGCTGTGCCTCATATAGGGACACCAAGTCCTTGAGGTGCACGCCCAGCACAGGCAGCCGGAAGCCTGTACAGCCAGCCCAGGTGCGGCGGTAGCAGGCATAGTTGTTGTGGGAGGCAAGGAGCTCCGTGAGCTCCAGCAGGGCCTGGGCAGGAGGGGCACGGAATCGGGGCGTTAACAGGGCATTCCTGTCCCCTGCGCCCCGGAGGGGTATCCTAGCAGCCTCCTGGGTGGCTCGAGGCCTTCAGGGACCCGTGGCATTCTGGACACCTCCTGAGCCCTTCCGTATCCCACGCTGTCTCAGCATCTCCCCCAAACTGCTCTTCCTCTTGCGTCCCCATCTCAGAGAAGTCCCACAATCCCCCATTCTTTGGCTAAGATGATTTCTTTTATCTTTCTTTCTTTCTCTTTGAGGTGGAGTTTCACTCTTGTTGCCCAGGCTGGAGTGCAATGGTGTGATCTCGGCTCACTGCAACTTCCACCTCCTGGGTTCAAGCGATTCTTCTGCCTCAGCCTCCTGAGTAGCTGGGATTACAGACATGCACCACCGCACTCGGCTAATTTTACATTTTTAGTAGAGATGGGGTTTTACCATGTTGGCCAGGTTGGTCTCGAATTCCTGACCTCAGGTGATCCACCTGCCTCAGACTCCCAAAGCATTGGGATTAAGGGCGTGAGCCACCCTGCCTTTCTTTTTTTTTTTAAGATAGGGTCTCACTCTGTCACCCAGGCTGGGGTGCAATGCTGTGTCATGATCACAGCTCATTGCAGCCTTAAACTCCTGGGCTTGATGGCTGGGTACGGTGGCTCACGCTTGGGAAGCTGAGGCAGGCGGATCATCTGAGGTCAGGAGTTCAAGACCAGCCTGGGCAACATGGTTAAACCCTGTCTCTACTAAAAATACAAAAATTAATTGGGCCTGATAGTACAGGCCTATAATGCCAGCTACTCAGGAGGCTGAGGCAGGAGAATCGCTTGAACCTGGGAGGTAGAGGCTGCAGTGAGCTGAGATGGCGCCACTGCACTCCAGCCTGGGAGATGGAGTGAGGCTCCTTCTCAAACAATAACAACAACAATGAAAAACTCCTGGACTCCAGCAGTCCTCCCCCTCAGCCTCCCAAGTAGCTGCGACTACAGGCATGGGCCACCACGTCCGGCTAATTTATTTATTTTTATTTATTTTTTTGAGACTGTTTCGCCACCTTGCCCAGCCACAAACAATTTAAAAATAAATTAGGTTGGGTGCAGTGCCTCACGCCTGTAATCCCAGCACGTTGGGAGGCCAAGGTGGGCACAGGTCAGGAGTTTGAGACCAGCCTGACCAACATGGAGAAACCCCGTCTCTACTAAAAATACAAAATTAGCCAGGCATGGTGGCACCTGCCTGTAATCCCAGCTACTTGGTAGGCTAAGGCAGGAGAATCACTTGAACCTGGGAGGCAGTGGTTGTGGTGAGCTGAGATCGCACCACTGCACTCCATCTTGGGTGACAAGAGAGAGACTCCATCTCAAAAAAAAAAAAAAAAAAAAAAAAATTTTTTTTTGTAGAGATGGGGTCTTACCGTGTTGCCCAGGCTGGTCTCAAACACCTGGACTTAAGCAGTCCTCTTGCTTTGGCCTCCCTGGGATTACAGGTGTGAGCCACTATACTATACCCAGCCTATAATTGTTTCTTAAAAAGCCAGATCTTATCACAGGTGTGTCATCACTCTCAAACTTCCCTAGCTTAGCCCAGCTTGCAAGGCTCAAGAGGATTTTCCCAGGGCACCTTCGGCCTAATTTCCTGCCATTTTCTGACCTCAGCCTGGGGGACTTCAAAGCTCTCTGCTAGCTTCTCTCCTATCTGTCTCCCTCACAGTCCAGCTCAGGACCAGACACGCTGAGAGAAGAGAGGGGTCAGCACCACGGGTGGATGGATGCCAGGGAGGAGGAATGCTGGCAGAGCCTGGGGGTCTGGAATTTGGAGGAACAAGGACTTCATGTGGGTTCCAGGGCCCCTGGGCAGGGATGGACAGGGCTTGGGAATTAGATGTAGGGGTTCAGGACAGCTGACCACTTGGAGCTTTGGGGAGGGTAGTGGGGATTCACCTTGGTGCTGTCAGGGCTCAGGTGGGCATGGGAGTCCTTGAGTCTGGAGATGGCACTGTGACACAGGCCTCCTGTGACTGCCATCAGCGTGTTGAAATTCTGCAGCTGGTGGAGCCTCTAGGAAGGGAAGCATGACACAAGGTCATCATGGGAGGATGGGCGAGTTGGGAGTTCAGATGACAGCATCCCAGTTGAATTGGGGTTCCAGGCATGTGTGGGTGTGGAGCAGTGTGGGGATCAGGCAGGTGAGAGAAGGGGAGTGTGTAAGGCAGGAGTCGGACATGCAATGTTTGGGCCTCATGGGTGTCAGATGGTTATCTGAGCCGGGAGTGTCAAGCCGGTGATTGACTGATGTGAGGTTAGAAAATCTGGCTGGGTGCAATGGCTCATGCCAGTAATCCCAACACTTTGGGAGGCTGAGGCGAGCAGATCACGAGGTCAAGAGATGGAGACCATCCTGGCCAACATGGTGGAACCCCGTCTCTACTAAAAATACAAAAATTAGCTGGGTGTGGTGGTGCGCACCTGTAATCCCAGCTAATCAGGAGGCTGAGGCAGGAGAATAGCTTGAACCTGGGAGGTGGAGGTTGCAGTGAGCCGAGATTGTGCTACTGCACTCCAGCCTGGCAACAGCCAGACTCCATCTCAAAAACAAAAAAGAAAATCTGGGGAGGCAGGAAGTATGGGAGGTTGGGTGGATTTGGGAAATAGATAGGCATGTGTCAGACAGGTGGGGGTGGGCTCAGACACATCAGGGTGTCAGGCATCTGGGGGTCTGACTGAGAGTCAGACAGGTGCAGGGAGACAAGAAGGCGCAGGCTCTGGGCAGGAGCTGGGAGTGAGGCAGAGGTGAACAGGGCCAGAGAGATGCTAGACAGGTGTGGGGCCACCTGGGCAGCTGGGGAATTCCCTCGCCCTCCCTTTTACAAATTTGGGCAGAGGTTGCTGTGGAGAAAATGGAGCCAGGGAGGAAGGGAAAATGCTCAGATCAAGCAGGCCCCAGACGGTCGTCGAGACCCCCAGGTCGAAGGGGCCCCGCAGGAGGAAGCGAGCCGGGGAAGACGTCAGAGGAAGGGTGTGGTCTTGGTCTTCGTGGAAATACGCAAGGGGGCGCGGCCACAGCGGGCGGAGGGCTTCCCTTTTTCCCAGAAAAGCGGGAAGGTGTCCGGAAAGGAGGGGGAAGGGAGGGGGAGAGAGGGGCGTAACACGACGGGGCGGGGCAGGGAGAGACCGGACGCCAAGGGGAGCGAGGCGCAGTCCCGAAGCGACCGCTGGGGGCCGGGGACTGGGAATCGAAGCCTCGGTGGAGGATGGCACAAAGGTGGGGGCATGAAAGGGACGCTCTCATTAACCTGGGGATAGAATATTCGGGCATAGGGGTTGGGAGCCTGTCACGTCGCTAGGGCCAAGGAGTGGGGCAACGTTGGGTGGGACGCGGTAGCATCAAGGCCAAAGAAGAAGTTACGTCCTGGATTGGAACGCCCGGGACTGTGGCCTCGAGGGCAGAGGCGGGAGACAGGAGGGAGGAGGGAGATGGGAGGAAAGAGGGAGATGGGGTCGAGGGCCTGGAAGGCGGAGGGCCAGGTAGCGGCGTGCAGTGGGGTTCGCAGCCCCACAGGGCGGGCCTCACCTGTGCCACGTGAATGAACTTGTCCAGCACCTGTGCGCGCTGTGCGGGCCCGGGACGGCTCAGCACCATCACCTGCACCCAGCGGGAGACGCTGTTGCTGAGTCCTACAGAGCCCTCCAGAGCCGGGCAGCCCCGCACTGAGCCCTGCAAAACGTAGCTCCGCAGGTCCTGGGGCTGGGAGAGAGGTGGGTGTCAAGGCGGGCCGTAGCGCTCAGGCCCTGCCCTTCCATGGCATCCAACTAGTAGTCAAGACCTCTGATGTCCTAGCCTGGTCTACCCCGAGTGACCTTTGTCCCCCCCACACCCACGGCAGCTACCCGTCCCTGACGTCACCATGGTCCTTTCCCATCTGAGGAGGCATGGCATGTTTAAATATAGCCGGGAACTGCCGGGCCCAGTGGCTCACACCTGTAATCCCAGCACTTTGGGAGGCGAGTCGGGTGGATCACCTGAGGTCAGGAGTTCAAGACCATCCTGGCCAACATGGTAAAACCCGTCTCTACTAAAAATACAAAAATTATCTGGGTGTGGCGGCACATGCCTGTAATCCCAGCTACTCGGGAGGCTGAGGCAGGGGAATCACTTGAACCCGGGAGGTGGAGGCTGCAGAGGGCCAAGATTGCATCACTGTACTCCAGCCTGGGTGACAGAGCAAGACTCTGTCTCAAAAATAAAAATGATAAATACATAGCCAGGCACTAGATTTGACACATAATCATATAAATTAATCCTCCTAACTCTATGAGGTATCATTCCATTTTAGAGATTAGACAGTTGAGGTTAGGTAATTAGGCAGAGAGGATAGGTAATTTGCCCAGGGTCACACAGGTGTGAGTCAGGGAGGGAACTGAGTCTATATACTCTTCACTGTACACCTAACTAGTATACAGTCAGCAAAGGGAAGGATGGGGAGGATGACTTGAAATCAACCTCTATCTGTTCTACCCAAAGAGTGTTCATTTCATACGCACATCCACTACACTGAGTATATCTGCACACACACACACACAGGAAATTTTCACATGAAGGAACCAGATCCCCACCTTCTCTTGAAATGATGAGGTCCAGATGGCAAAGCTAAGACATTGAAGCACTTGAAATTGACCCTGGGGTAGGCAACATATGTCAATTTCAAATGGTTCAACCAGATAGCATTTACCCTGGACCAGGCATTGCTCCTACAAGGCAGGAACTGTTCATATCCCCTTTTTACAGATGAGGAAACAGGTACTGTGAGTTTAAATGCTTATTGAATCAATGATAATATATTTTGAGCACTTACTAAGTGCCAATCACTGCAATAAGCATTTTATTATTTTTCTTTTTCTTTCTTTTTTTTTTTTTGGTACAGAGTCTTACTCTGTCGCCCAGGCTGGAGTACAGCGTCATGATCTTGGCTCACTGCAACCTCCGCCTCCTGAGGTTCAAGCAATTCTGCCTCAGCCTCCCGAGTAGCTGGGATTACAAGTGCCTGCCACCACACCCGCTAATTTTTGTATTTTTAGTAGAGACGGGGTTTCACCATATTGGCCAGGCTGGTCTCGAACTCCTAACCTCAGGTGATCCACCTGCCTCGGCCTCCTTAACTCATTTTCCTGGACCCTCTAGCACCCAGGTTTGACAGTTTAAGACTTTGAGATCTCTGCTGAATGGCCATGCAGGTGTCCTCTCAGTCCTGGCTTGCCCCAGCCAATCCCTACCCCACCCCAATCTCTCCCCTGCTTGGGACAGGGACCGGAGGGGGTCCTCACCGTGATAGCCTGGAAGGACCGGAACTCCAGGTAGGTGAGGTGCTGAGCCAGCTCCCCCGTCTCCAGGTGGTCGAAAAGCAAGGACACTTTGCGCTTTTTGCCTAGGCCTGGGCTGTTCATGGGGGGTGGGGGCCCAGGGCCACCAGGGCTCAGGCTGGGGGCCAAAAGGGGCAGCGTATTGGAGTGGCTCACGGTGGAGGGATTAGGGGTGTGGAAGGAGATGGCAGAATGGGGATGGGGCAGGGAAGCGTGGGGCACAGGGCTGACTCACAGGTTAGAGGAGCCCCCCAGGCTCCTCTGGGCTGAGTTGCCCTCCTGGGCCACGGTGGCCCAGAAACGACCCATGACTTCTTCCAGCTGGGGGTCCTGGTGCATCACTTCAGGGTGTTGGGTGAGCCAGTACCTGAGAGTGATTTGGAGACGGTGAGATGAGGCTGGGGGTGGCGAAGGTCTCTACAAGGAATCTCTAGGTGCTGAGCTAGGGGTCTCTAAATGTGTGCAGGGGACCCTGGAGGGTTGGGGTTTGGAGGGGCACCAGGCTCGGGGAATCTCTGGAGGAGGGTGGGGGTCTCTTAACACAGGCTGGGGGTATCTGTGGGAAACAGATCTCGGAGGCTGTTGGAATGTGATTGTTGGGAAGCAGGATAGTAGAGGGTTCTAGGAACTAGACTGGAGCTTCTAGGGGTGAGATTTTTGGGGTGACAGAATGAGGGGGTCTTAGGGGCCAGGCTGGGATCTGTGAGAGGTGGAGGTTTTGGGGATCAGAGCTGGAGGCCTCTGGGTACCAGCTAGGAGGGCCTATGGGATTCACCGGTTGGTGAGGTGGGAAGTCGCTAGAAAGTGAGGGTTCTGCCAGGCGCAGTGGCTCACACCTGTAATCCCAGCACTTTGGGAGGCCAAGGTGGGTGGATCACAAGACCAGGAGTTCAAGACCAGCCTGGCCAATATGGTGAAACCACATCTCTGCTAAAAATACAAAAAAATTAGCCGGGCATGGTGACTCATGGCTATAATCCTAGCTACTCAAGAGGCTGAGGCAGGAAAATTGCTTTAACCCGGGAGACCGAGGTTCCAGCGAGCTATTGAGCCACTGCACTCCAGCCTGAGCAACAGAATGAGACTCTGTCTCAAAAAAAAAAAAAAAAAAACCAGAAAGGAAGTGGGGGTTCTAGGGAACAAAGCTGAGAGAGTCTTAGGAACCAAGCCAGGGGTGTCTCAGAAGTGGGATTTTGGCCTGTGGGGCTCATTGGGTCTGAGGGAACTGGGCTGGGGAGTCTCTGAGAATGCTTTTTGGGGGGCAGCCGGATGGAAGTCTTGGGTCCTGAGAGTGGGGATCTCGGCCCAGCCCTTACCTGACCAGGTGGCAGATCTGCAGCCGCCTCAGCTCCTGGGTGTCCCCTGTGGCCTTCTGATACTTGAGTTCTGGTCAAGGCTCTGTTCTCCAGGATTTGTGACCTCCCCATTCCCATTGCCCAGGCTCTCAGGGCTCTGTCCCTTGCCCTCCACCCATAGCTCACAGTCTCGGAGGATATGAGGTCAGCAGGCGGGCAGCCAGGTCGGCAGAGGGCAGCACCCAGCTGTGCATGGCTAGCACCATGTTGAGCACGTGGTCCCCATGGCGCAGGCTGCCAGCTGAGTCTGGGGTGGAAGGAGGGGGACTCTGACAGAATGGCCCTCAGGCAGTACACAATATAGCCTCCAGATCCTGCCAGACTGCCTGGTTCAAAGGCCAGCTCTAACAGTGATCCCTGGGATGACTTTGGACAGGCAGCCTGCCTCAGTTTCCTTATCTGTGTTGTACATGAGGCGGCATCACCCCTGGCAAGGCTTGTTGAAGACTGAAATAGCACCAGACCAATCGGGCATGGTGGCTCACACCTGTAATCCCAGCACTTTGGGAGGCCAAATTGGGCAGATCACATGAGGCCACGAGTTTGATACCAGCCTGGCCAACATGGGGAAACCCCGTCTCTACTAAAAATGCAAAAATTAGCTGGGCATGGTTGTGGGCACCTGTAATCCTAGCTACTTGGGAGGCTGAGGCAGGAGAACCACTCAAATTAGAGAGGTGGGGGTTGCAGTGAGCTGAGATCGGGCCACTGCACTCCAGCCTGGGTGACAGAGCAAGACTCTGTCTCAAAAGAAAAAGAAAAAAATATGGCCGGGTGAGATGGCTCATGCCTGTAATCCCAGCACTTTGGGAGGCCGAGGCAGGTGGATCATGAGGTCAGAGGGAGACCATCCTGGCCAACATGGTAAAACCCTGTCTCTACTAAAAATACAAAAATTAGCCAGGCATGGTGACGAGAGTACCTGTAGTCCCAGCTACTCAGGAGGCTGAGGCAGGACAATCGCTTGAACCCAGGAGGTGGAGACAGAGCAAGACTCCATCTCAAAAAAAAAAATTTATATAAATAAATACATATATAACATATATATGTATATATTTTCATTTCAGGAAAGAAGAAAAGCAGGTGTTTCTCTTATCTCTAATGTAGTGACTGAGTTTCACTCCACCCAGCCTGCTCTCATTTTACCTGCAAAAACTGAGGCGAAGAGAGGCAGGTGCTGAGCTGAGGTTAGGGCGGGGGAGGCTGCTGGGGAGAGGACACTCACCAAAGGACTGGATGCATTTCTCCAGCAGCTCATCTTCGCTGCAGCCACCCCCGCTCAGCAGGCCCAGGTTCATGGAAGCCATGACCTTGCTGATTTCCCGGGGGCTGGGGCATGTCTTGTGGCGGCGCGCTTGGCGGGGCCGGCCCCGTCCTCCTGTCTTTCCGGTGCATTCCTGGTGGGACTTCCTGCGGGGACAGCCCCCAGGGAGTCATGGGAGCCCCTTCCTTCAGGCAGACCCTAGAATTCCTCTTGACCCCAATGCCCAAGGCACCACGGGAGAGGCTGCCTAGAGGCAAAGCCCCGGGGTTACCGCTGACCTACCAGGGACTCATGGGAGAACCTCCAGGAACATTCCAGATCCCTAGGGGAATCATGGGAGCCCTCCCCCACAAACAAATTTTTAGGGCTACTCCTGTTCCCTTCAGGGAATCAGAGGGGAAGATCCTCAAGATCAGGGGTCCCCAGCCCCAGGGACACGGACCGGTACCAGTCCGTGGCCTGTTAGAGCCATGGGGTGAGCGAGCATCCCCGCCTGAGCTCCTGTCCAGATCAGCATCTGCAATGGAGTCTCACAGGAGCTCGACCCCTATTGTGAACTGCGAGTGCGAGGGATCTAGGTATCGGCTTCAAATCTAATTCCGGATGATCTGTCGCTGTCTCCCACCACCCTCAGATGGGACCATCCAGTTACAGGAAAACAAGCTCAGGGCTCCCTCCCACTGATTCCACATTGTGGTGAGTTGTATAGCTATTTCACTATCTATTACAATGTAATAATAATATAAAGCTCACGATAAATGTAATAAGCTTGAACCATCCCCAAACCATCCCCACCTCCTTCCACAAAGCCGGTCCCTGGTGCCAAAACGGCTGGGGACTGCTGCCCAGGATGATTCTGAATCCCCCAGGGAATCACAGCAGCAGACCCCCAGGACCACTCAGGACCCCTCAGGGAATGATAAGAACTCCCTCCCCAGGCCTTGCCCCCAACTTTCTGACTGCTTCCAAGGCATCATGAAAGAGACTTCTTTCCTGTTGGCATATCCCGGGATTACTCCTGGCCTCCCAGGGAATCTTGGGAGAAGACGCCTGGGCTCTCTGCCGTCCTCCCCAGGCAGAGGCATGGGAGGACCTGCCTTCAGGACCCATATCCTCAGGGCTCCCTTTTGGTCTCCAACACCCGATCCTCCTCCCTCCCCCAGCCCTCAAGAGAGCAAGTCTCAGGCCAGGCACGGTGGCTCACGCCTGTAATCCCAGCACTTTGGGAGGCCAAGACGGGTGGATCGCTTGAGGCCAAGAGTTCGAGACCACCTTGGCCAACATGGTGAAACCCCATCTTTACTAAAAATACAAAAATTGGTCAAGCATGGTGGCAGGCGCCTGTAATCCCATCTACTCGGGAGGCTGAGGCAGGAGGATCGCTTAAACCAGGGAGGTAGAGGCTGCAGTGAGCTGAAACTATATGACTTTCCTCCAACCTGAGTGACAGAGTGATTTCTGTTTCAAAAATAATAAAAATAAAAATAAGAAAGAGAGACCTGGCTTATGCTTGTAATCTCAGCACTTTGGGAGGCCAAGGAGGGTAGATCACTTGAGTTCAGGAGTCAGAGACCAGCCTAGCCAACGTGGTAAAACACCGTTGCTCCTAAAAATGCAAAAATTGGCTGGGTGTGGTGGTGGCCACCTGTAGTCCCAGTTACTCAGGAGACTGAGACAGGAGAATTGCTTGAACTTGGGAGGTGGAGGTTGCAGTGAGCCGAGATCACGCCACTCCACTCCAGCCTGGGTGACAGAGTGAGACTCTGTCTCAAAATAAATAAATTAGTAAATAAAATAAAATAGCAAGACTCCTGCAGGGAGGCCCCCTGGATTTCTTCTCTCCCCATCTCCCACACCTTCACTCCACTAAGGTGACAGACCCCTTCCCCAAGTTAGCCTCCGACAGGACCTGCAGTTTTAGCCTGCGGCCTGGGTGCCCAGATTTGGGACTGAAGAGGAAATACCAATGCCAAGTGGCCTTCTCTGGGGCTCCTAAGAGCTAGGTGAGAGGTCCCTGAGGCTGAGGCAGCTTCAAGGAAGCTGTGAAAATAATCCTCCCTCTGCCTGGTACCTCCCAGGGAATGGAGAGACAGGTATGGTGGGAGGAGGGAGAGAGCTAAATCCAGCCTTCAGAAGAAAGTAGAATCCAGAAATTCCTGCCAGCTGTTGTGACTTTGTGTTAATGTGACTTTGTCACTTAATTTCTCAGGGGCTCAGTTTCCTCAAAGGAAAAATGAGGATAATCCTTGGACCTTCCCCAGGGATTTTTTTTTTTTTTTTTTTTT